AAATCTCTCTCTCTCTCTCTCTCTCTCTCTCTCTCTCTCTCTCTCTCTCTCTCTCTCTCTCTCTCTCTCTCTCTCTCTCTCTCTGGCTCTCTCTCTCTCTCTCTCTCTCTCTCTCTCTCTCTCTCTCTCTCTCTCTCTCTCTCTCTCTCTCTCTCTCTCTCTCTCTCACACACACACACACACACACACACACAAACACACAAAAGGGAAAAGATAGGATGCAATAAGTAAGCCTTTCCATTGATTGAAAAAAAAAGACAATGATGTTACAGGGTACAAAAAGGTGTTGAAGAAATTTTTATTTGGTGTAGAGACAAACACTAGTACATGTTTTAGTACACATGCATATAATATCACAACAGCATTAAAACAAATTACTACAACAAAAATCACCCTACTCCATATCATTTAAGCCATTGTATATCCCATTCTTTGGAAGGTAATCACAAGACTCGGACAACATAAAAGAGAACGAACTTTCCGAGTCTTCAAATGTACTTCGAGGAAATTCATAATCCAAAGGTGAGAAGTAACTCGTAGGATCGTCATCCATAATAACATTTCGACAAGCACTTGTACTTGGAGTATCGAACTTAAAGTTGACTTCCGGTTGGTCAACTCCACTGCACTGACCTCGATCGGGTGGTCCAGAAAACCCTTTAGATTCTTCAACAGGGATAGCAGGAGTATGGCCTTGAAAAAGGGCGATATGACCAAAAAGTTTATCTTTCCTAGAAAAAGTTGTACCGCATGAACAAAGCCATTTATCTCGGCCACAATGCTTCTCGTGAGTTTTCAGATCAGCAATAACCGAAAATTTCTTAGTATTGCAGCGGCTGCAAGTGTAGTTTTTATCGCAGTGAGTTCTCTTGTAATGATTCTTCACACACAAGATTGTCTTTAAAGGCTGAAACTTTTTATGATCTTTGTTCCGTTTGCACCCAATGTAAGGACAAGAATACCTCTTGACAAGAATCGGATGATCGGAGATTGATTCTCTATTGGGCTTTGCAAGAGCAGCTGGGGTTTTGTACTCATCGCCATGACCTCTCATATGCATACGCAGATTCGCGTCTCTTTTAAACCCTTTTCCGCATATTGTGCAGAAATGCGTGTGCGGTGCAAGAATTTCTTCCTTCTCGAGTTGCAAAATTTCGTACGAGCCAGGAGGCAGGTTTTCTCCTTCGTCTGCATCCTCGTCACTTTTCATCATTTCATGGTCTGAGTGATCTTCGATTTTGTGACTAACAACGTTGTTGTTATTGTTGTTGTCTGAAACTTTTGCTGAGTGATGATTCGCCACAAATTGGCCGATCGGATTTTCTGAAGAAAGGGTGGTCTTGAGAGATGGTAAGAGACTGCCTGCAGTGGATATTAGTTGGACTATGACTGAAGTGAGATCGGCAGTTATTAGCTGCTGTTGTTGGACCAAGATTGCATCGGCTTGGCCTCTTTGCCTAACGATTAAATGCACCATTTCTTGAAGCTGGTGAATCTTTTGTTCCAGGAAAGATAGATTGTTTAGCATCGCTTTCGTATCAAAATCTTGCATATTATTCGATTCGTGGGACCCGTGAATCTGCTCATCTTGAAAATCACTCATTTGCTTCTGGATTTCAAGTCGGAAGCAAAAGCGACCCTTTTAGCTCCAAATAGCTGATGAAATGCAGAAATTAATACATGAATAAGTATTTGCCGATTATCGGTGCACAAAAAAAAAATCTAAATCATCCGTGTTTTTTTGCCCCACTCGTAACTGGATCTTAGCATAACGAACTTTACGTAATTGTTACGCCGCAACACAGATAAATCTGAGTGATTTAAATTTGAAAAAAAAAATTAGGGAAAAAACATAAAAATATAAGGATAGCATTCCAAGTCAAGCTTTCACAGAAGACACATATCAAACACCTAGACTGCACATCAAACAACAACCTATAACTCGCAAGTACAAAATCCCAGTAGCTCAATTGTACACGTAACAATTTCATGTTACTGTTCTTCCCAGAAAACACAAATGCAGAACAAATCCACACTCTCCATTTTCAAGTATACGAAAGCATCTATTCAATCATCTTTCTTCGTTGGTAACTTCATAACAAATACTTTGATCCATTATCAAAGATCATCAGAATATACAAGCAAAACATAACAAACTACAGTCTACATAACACAACTGTTAAATATTTCGGATCTATCATCACATCATACAAATCAAGAACCTCTCGAATAAGAAAAAATAAAAACAATAAAAAAAAAGGGGTTGATTTTTCAGTATAAATGAAAAGAAAAAGGATCGAAACTCACCAGATTAAAAGAGCCCAGAATCAATCTATCTCCCCAGTTGCGAATCGATGACTGAAATTTTTGGAAAGGGGGGTGTCAAGTTGTGTAAGTCAATCCATATATATCATCATTTTTTATTTTTTATTTTTTAATAATTCTGTATTTCTTCTTTGTTTTGTAGTCAATTGTATTTATTAGATTTGGTGAGGGCTTAATTGCAATTAGTACCAAAAACTATTAATTGTGATCCCTATATCTGATTATTGTCTCTCGTGTCTGTGTCACGGTGGACATTGTTGCCACTTGTTCTCAAATCAACGGTCTATCTACTTTTTTACACTAAATAGAATAAAATATGTTTGGGTAAATCGCGCCAACTACTGCCGTAATGTCAAATTACGAAAAAAATCTTACATATTTGATTAATTACAATTACTTCCCTCAACTATGAATCTTTTTACACGTCCACTTTTGCAGTGTCAAATTTAGTGGAATTTTCTAGATTATGTGGAATATTCTCTAATTTGTACTCGTTTTGTGCAAAAAATGCAGTTTTTGATGCACCACAATCTGGTATTTACAAGCCATGATCATCTTGTTTCAAAATGTAGAGCTCGAATGGGTAAAACGGGTACAAAATGGAGAATATTCCACATAATCTAGAAGATTTCATTAAATTTGACATCGCAAGGATGGACGTGTAAGAAAATTCATAGTTGGGGTAGTGAATGTAATTATCCAAATATGAGAGATTTTTTTGCTACAAACAACTTCTGAGTTTTTTTTAGGGTAAATTTCACTTTACCCCCTTGTACTTTGGCTGGATATCACTTTATCCCATTGTACTCTCATTTGCATTGATTTGCCCCATTGTACTTTGGTTCGATATCACTTTACCTCATTCTACATTCATCGATTTGCCCACCTTGTACTTTGGCTCGATATCACTTTACCCCATTCTACTCTCAAGTGCATCGATTGCCC